TGTGGACCTCTCTCAGATTTGTTCATTTGTAGTGATATCTTAAATTTTCTAATTTTGGTGAATATTTTTGTCATTTTTGGTAAAAAAAGATATATTCGACTTCTTGTTAAAAACCGCAAGTCTGATTGCTTTTATATTACATATATAGGTACTACATGTGGACCTCTTTCAGATTTGTTCATTTTGTAATGATATCTTTAATTCTCTAATTTTAGTGAATATTTTTTTAATTTTTGGTAAAAAGTGATATTTTTGACTTCTTGTTGAAAACCGCAAGTCTGATTGCTTTTATATTACATATATAGGTACTACAGTTCATGATGTGGACCTCTTTCAGATTTGTTAATTTCGTGGTGATATCTTCAATTATCTAATTTTGATGATTATTTTTGGTGAAAACAGCAAGTCCTGTTGCTTTGATACTATACATATTGTTCATTTTCTAATGATTTCTTCTGTTCTTTAAATGCAATGTGCATTGCTAACAGTGGAGCTATCTCAGCCGACAGGCTGCTTGTTTGAATATAATTTGGATGTATGAGATTTGCTTTCGCGTCCAATTCAACACCCCCCATTCGAAGTTTGTTAAGGGTTAAATGTACATTGTCCCTACACACTATCACACAGTCTCTTCAACTGTAAGCACCACAACATAGCGATAATTCTTTACTCAGTACCTTTTTTTTACTTACAGTGAAAATGTTTGGCAAGGATGATACTAGTGACTGTGGAATGTATCGACCATATCTGATTGGCGGAGTCATACTAGCTGAAAACGACGGTTCAAAAGATAGTTATTTTCACTACGACTGTACTGTATCAATGCGCACTGTACCTGGTATGAACATTAATCTGCGATTCGAAACTTTCAAAGTCATTTCTGATGATCCAGAGTCATGTGGAAATCATAGATTAGAGATTTATGACGGTTTTAACAGCACCGAACGACCTCTCACATCTAAACGTGGCTTGTGTTCGAACTACACTCCTTCCGATGAAGGGACTTCATATGGATATATACCAGACGAGATTAATTCGAGCCAAGGTGGAGTGACAGTCAGGTTGAGAAGAGCCATCGCACCTTTGGCCGAATTTAAAATAATTTTTACATCGTTTTATAATTATTCAGGTAAATATTTCAGTTGTCTATTTAAATCTGTAAGCGAAAATATGATTGGCTACGCAGTTAGATGATGAATTTTGATAGCCAATATGGGACAATTATGGTAAAGAGAATGTTTTCATCGAGTTCGTGAAACTCTTCAATTCGATGGATCGACTGTGCTTAACTGTGCTTTGAGTTCACATGCATCTGCGTAGTGGGAATGCTATTTTATTTGTTGTTTATGTTTGTATGGACTAGTTTCCAATGTTTGTTTATTTTACCTCACACACTCGGCGTGGTCCATACTTGGAATAAAGTGTAATTTGAATGACATTGTGGCCGTGTGAGAGAAAGGCTTCGATCAGGTTCTGTCTGAGTCAGAGCGGCTTTAGTAGTTTGCCGTTACTTACATCAAATGACCTTTGTCTAATAATACTAAATCCATTAGCAATTCTGGGTGGGAGATTTACGTAGTAGAACTATTATGCAAATTATTGTTTTGCCTTGCATATATTTGGAGTAAATTTTGTTAACGATGATGTCACTTTGATGTTTTTTGGTTGCTTTGATCTATCAAATGTTTATGGCATAAATGTATGCATGTATTAAGTTTGATCTGTGAGTATTTTGTGTTTCTACATTTTCTTTAAGCAGATTTTTATTTTCAAAATCCACGTAATGTTGAACCGACAATGCGCGACCAAAGCAATGTATACACAGCAAAACGTTATTTCTAGCAGTTTTCCCTATTAGTGGGTAATATATTTGCAATTTTATCAATTTTATTGAGAGTGATTTACTATAAATTAACAGCACACGAAACACGTGGATATAATTACGTGGTGTATAGTTTTTTTTATCAACCGTCAGGCCTTGGGGTAGTTGGCTACCATTACAATTTATAGCCAGTTTTCCTTGACCTTTGACCAGCTTTATTTTATGATGCTGCTTACAAAATCCAGATAAAAAGTATGATAACTGAACTACTTTTCACAAAAATGTGTCAAACTTTTTTACCTATTTACTATTTCGTTCCAGTACACACTAATGCTATACATTGTATATAAAATAACGATTTAACATGAATTCCGATAACAATAGTTTCAAAAAGACCAAATTTCGCTTGTTTTCGCATAAAATCAACTTATTTTGAAAGAATGTGACATTTTCTTTGTTTTTAGTTAAGGTAAGGATGCAGTTTACCTG